CCATAAAAAAGACAACAGCAGCAAAAAGACTGTGTGGCTCATTTGCATATTTAGGTTAATCACATACTGCAATGATAGTGCCATAGAAACACTTTTGATAACCCCCAATTCACTGACTTGCCAAATTTAAATGACACTTGCTATCCCTTCCACAGAACAGTCTGAAAGATGTACACTATCAACTAAATGACCACACCTGCTAAACTTTTCTCTAATAGACACCAGGAGATAATAGTGTCACAAAATCAAGGCTGAAGAGTTTCAAGACAGAGAATGATCAGCAGCATTGTCTACATCCATTACCAAGCAGGAAAAGAATAAAGAACAGCCCAGTGAATAATTATGATAATCTTAGTGTAGCCGCTCTCATCCAAGATCTGTATCTCCATCTTGCCAAGCCTCAGGTCTCAATAGTAAACTCACTAGAACTGGCCAGTCTTTGAGACATTAGTCAAACTCACAAAAAATAACCCAAAATGCTAGCATATTCATTTTTAAATATACCAGATCACTCAGTTCCATATGGCTTTTGCTTCCTGGTGGTTGAAATAATAATATATCAAAATGCATGCCAGAAATTTATTTATTGTTTTCACATTATTCAATTCTTACCTATCACAGCAGGTATCAAAATATATGAAAATTGCATCGTTTCTTGTCTGGCTCCTCATCACCTACTCATTGAAGTTAATGATTATGTGTGTTTGATTCATTGCTCTTTACCTGGTGCTCAGCACAGTATAGGGCATGTTTAGATCTTCAATAAATATTTATTAGAAGGATAAATGAGCAATTAACTCATTGATTATTCTATCAAGATTTTGCAACCTAATAAATCATCATTCCCTTCCTTAGAGGCAAGTCTTTCTAAAAATATGAGGAGCACTAGAGAATTCTGGGCAGCTTTTTGTCGTCAGTTGTTCTTGCTTTGCAGGAAGCGCCAATCTTGTCTTTGTATCTATGCTTAGGAAAATCAGCCCCCAGGATACACTCTTCAATTAATTTCTTTGGTAGTGGTATCATATAATATTTTATGACGGATGGTCTGCCATTCTTCTTGAGAATATATAAAACATATAAAAGATAAAGCCTCCTAGTCCTCTATCTACTTCTCTTAACAATAGCATATTTAAGTATAAATGTAATTAACTGGGAATACTGCATAATAAAGTCAACAAATGAAAAGGAAGCTGAAACTCCTTGTGCTGTCAAATTCAGATCTGCAGATGTCCTTCACCACAGTCACACAGCTCAAGAGGAGCAATTCTCCTTTGCCTAGACTTTTATAGTGTCTTCTTGAACAAAAACAGTACTTTCAGAAACCACACGTGATTTGTTTCCATATGACGCATCCATGGCTATATACTTGGCTGCATGGGTTATTTTGAAATGTGTTACCCAGAATTTGTGGTCAGAATGAAAAGAAGCCTTAGATTCTTTAATTGTGAATCATTCTTTTCTCTTCTGGGCACCATGATTTACACGTTTATTTCTAGAGCTTTTATTCTTTCTGCTTAGGGAATCACTTGTAAATTTGCTGCAGTTTGCAGGTACTATTCCTTCAAGTGATTCACATCCTTGGTATATTCCTGCTGTCTCACATCCCTGCTGATTATCAGGCATAGGTTTGCTGGATGATGAATATTTGCAGTCAATATCATTAAGAAGTCAAAGGTGAATAGTTTTTTTCTTCCACTGATTGTAATAAAATGCACACTAGATTTAGAATTCGAGGACCTAGGTTTGAATTCCAATTCTGGGACTGGCACTATTGCATAGTGGGCTAAGCCTCTTCCTGCAGCACTGGCATCCCATATGAGCACCAGTTCTAGTCCCGGATGCTCCTCTTCCAGCCCAGCTCTCTGCTATGGCCTGGGAAAGCAAGAGAAAATGGCCCAAGTCCTTGCACCCCTGCACCAGCGTGGGAGACCCGGAAGAAGCTCTTGGCTTCTGGCTTTGGATCAGCTCAGCTCCAGCCATTGCGGGCATTTGGGGAGTGAACCACCAGATGGAAGATCTTTCAGTCTCACACTCTCACTGTCTGTAATTCTACCTCTCAAATAAATAATTAAATCTTTAAAAAAAATTTGAATTCCAATTCTACTGCCTCCTTGCTTTCACTCCTGATACAAGATTCCTAAGAAAAAATTAATTTCAGATAACCAATAAAAAAATTTTGTATAGGTATATCCTGTGCCATATTTGGGATAAATTTAATAAAATTGTTCATTATTTATAAAAGTTAAATTTAGCTAGGTATCCTATATTTTTATTTGTTAAACCAGACAACTTTGTCAGATTTATAATTTATATATGTACATATAATTGACATGTGTGTCAAATTTTATTTTTAAATATGGGTTATATAGATCATAGTTTAATATACTACAATGAAATATATAACACATCTATTTTAATATTGTTTTTAAAACTTTCAGATTTGTATATTTTATTTGTTTGAAAAGCAGAATAAGAGAGAGTGATAGAGAGAAAGAGAGACAATGAGAGGCCGGGCCAGGCTGAAGCCAGTACCCAGGAACTCAATCCAGTTCCCAAACCTCAGTGTCAGGGATGCAAATACTTGAGAAATCACCTGCTGCCTCCCAGGGTGTGCATTAGCAGGAAACTGGCATGGGGAGCTGAACTTGGGCTTGAACCCAGGCACTCCTCTATGGGATTTGGGTGTTCCAAAGGGTGTCTTAACTGGTAGGCCCAACAAATTGTATTAAGATACAATTTGATGAATCAAAACTGAGTCTAATCAAGTCTTTAGAACTTATAAAGAATGTAGAAATTGGACAAATTTAATGATACCATGTATAAATGACATCTAGAAATTGAGACTTGACCTGATTTTTTAACATGTCAATGAAAGATTGAGAAAGGGAATACTTTGTTCCTAGGGAATATTTGGTAATGTTTAGAGATTGTTAAATTTTATTCAATGTGGTTAAAAAAGAGGACAGGGAATTCTCTTGACATCTGGTTTCTGGTGAGTAGAGGCCAAGGGTGTTGCTAAACATCTTGTGACACACCAAACAACCTCTCCTTGCCCATGCCCCCTCACTCACATACCCTCACAACAAAAATTAGCAGACACGGGGAGTTAACAGTATCACGGTAGAGAAATCCTAGTGTAGAGCAAAAGAGACTTTAAAGACTTAATCAAATCAAGGTGTGGTGCTCATTTGAACCTTGATTCAAACAAACTATTATATCACAAAGAGCACTCATATGCTAGATGTCAAGGCAACTACTTAAGGCTATATCAGGGGCTGGTGCTGTGGCACAGCAGGTTAAAGCCCTGGCCTGAAGCACCGGCATCCATTTGGGCGCTGGTTCGAGACCCAGCTGCTCCTCTTCCGATCCAGTTCTCTGCTATGGCCTGGGATAGCAGTGGAAGATGGCCCAAGTCCTTGGGCCCCTGCACCCACATGGGAGACCCAGAAGAAGCGCCCGGCTCCTGGCGCTTTGGATCGGTGCAGCTCCGGCTGTTGCGGACATCTGGAGAGTGAACCAGTGGATAGAAGACCTCTCTCTCTGTCTCTACCTCTCTGTGTAACTCTGTCTTTCAAATAAATAAAATAAATCTTAAAAAAAAAAAGGCTATATCGTAGGGGGCTGGCGCTATGGCCTAACAGGTAATGCAGCTGTCTATGACACTGGCATCCCAAATGGGTGCCAATTCATGTCCTGGCTGCTTCACTTCCAATCCAGCTCCCTGCTAATGGCCTGGAAAAAGCGACAGAAGATGGCCAAGTGTTTGGGCCCCTGCCACTCACATGGGAGACCTAGATGTAACTCCCGGCTCCAGGCTTCAGCCTGGCGTATTAGTGGCCATTGCAACCATCTGGAGAGAAAGCAACAGATGGAAGATCTTTCTTTCTCTGCCCACCCCCATCCCCCATGACTCTGACTTTCAAAAGAAACGAACAAATCTTTTAAAAAATTAAATCGTAGAAAAATGTTTATTGATATGAGAAAGATTCCCAACTCATTAAGAGAAAAAACAAACTGGATACAAAGAAATTTTAATAGCACAATATTATAGTATTAAAAAGAAAAATGGCAGGGTGTTGTGACACAGTGGGTTAAATTGCTGCCTAGGGCATGGATATCCCAATTGACCTCTGGTTCGAGTCCCAGCTCTTCGCATCTGATCCAGCTCCCTGCTATTGTACCTGGGAAGGCAGCAGAAGATGGCCCAAGTGCCTGGATTGCTGACTCCCATGTGGGAGACCCAGATGGAGTTCAGGCTCTTGGCTTTGGGCTGGCCCAGCCCTGGTAGTTGTTATCCATTTGGGGAGTGAATCAGCAGACAGAAGATTTCCCCTCTCTCTCTCTCTCTCTCTCTCTCTCTCTAATGCTGTCCTTCAAATTAATTTAAAAAAGTTTAAAAAGTTTTAAAAATATTACAAACTGGGTAACTTATGAAGGAGAAAGGTGTATTTAGCTCCTGGTTCTGGAAGCTGAGAAGTCAAGAGTGTGGTGTTAGCATCTGGTAAAGCAACTCCCGCTGCATCTAAGCATGGAGAAATACATCATCTGGTGAGACAGAGTGCGCATGTTAGCTCAGAACCTAGCTGCTTAGGAAGCCACTATAGGGGCCCCACCTTGAGACCTCATCTAATCCTAATTACCTCCTAAAGGCTTCACCTCCAAATACTATTAATACGTGAATTGGGGCACTCAATTTTCTATCACATGAACTTTAGGAGAAACATTCAAATCATAGCAGCTACAAAAATAACAATCATCCAATTTTTGCCATAAATACGTGTACATGGAAACAGATACCCACTTATGAATGCATGGAAAACAAAGAAAGTCTTAAAATGTTAATGGTGTTAATTCTAAATTGGAGATCACGAGTGATTTATGTTCTTATTTTCCCTTTTCTGTATTTTCTATGACGCACATGTAATATTTCTGTAATCAGGGGGGAAACAGGGTTATTTAAGAGAGACAGTTCTCAGCCTGGGTTGAAGATCTTTGTGGCAATCACCTTCTCAGGGCAGAGCTGAAAGCCCTCCTCAAATGCCCCCCACAGGGGCAGTGGCTGTCTGTGTACAGAATCATGCTGAAGCAGAAACTAAACTTACTGCAGGTATTTCCTTCTCTCCCCAGCAAGATCAGAACATGAACCAAAGGGAGAATAAGGAAGTGAATTTCTGCCCTTTCCGAGAATGGGAGTGGAAGCTCTAGAAATGTGAGGGTAAGGCTGGGATGCTTGCAAGTGAACTTAAAAAAAAAATAGCTCTGTCCTTAATGTGTTGTACTATGTGAATTAATGGTAAAACTAGTATTCAAACAGTACTTTATACTTTGTGTGTCTGTATGGGTGCAAACTGTTGAAATCTTTACTTAGTAAAGTTGATCTTCTGTATATAAATATAATTAAAAATGAATCTTAATGAAGAATGGGATGGGAGAGAGAGTAGGAGATGGGATGGTTTGTGGGTGGGAGGGTGGTTATGGGGGGAAAAACCACTATAATCCAAAAGTAGTACTTTTGAAATTTATACTTATTATATAGAAATTTTTAAAAAAAATAACTATAGGCTGAAGTCGGAACAGAGAAGCCCTGGCCACTATAACCCTTTACTTGTATCTTATTTATTTGAATGAGTTTCAGGAAGCCAGCTGCTCTCTAATGCTGAGAAACTAAAATTTAGGGCTTTCCCTTTGTAAGCTTATCCATTATTCATGTAGTTTACTTTACTAAAACTCAATGCAGTTTCAGTTTCTGAAATCCCTACTATCTGCAGCTGTCAGTAAACAAATGAAAGCTACCTACATCAGCGACCCAAGTTCCTAATGAAGCTCTTGAGACCAACTCTCATAGTCTATCTTCTTTATCTTTTAGTAACCTGGAGGAATTCTCAAAGGGATGGTCTCAGGGGATTTAGGGCAGAGGGATTCACCCCTCTTTGGGGAGAATGAACATCCAAAGCTTGCAGTTTAAGAGACTGCATTTTTTCCCTTGGACATTTTCTAGGCCAAGGGAACCAATGCACCCCAGTCTCAAGGAACATGGCAGTAATTTGGAGCTTGTTTTGATCCTAGAGAAAACTGGATTTGCCTAACTTTGTGGGTTTTTACTTTCCTTGTAAATGCCTCTTGAACACGAGTTTTCCCACCTGTTCCCGTGAATAGATGCAACCCCTTGAGTGCCTTGCAAAGCCCACTGTCTGGAAAGTATCTCCTCTCCTTACCATTACCAAGGTCAGAGGCAATGAATGACTGTTGGCAAAAGTAAATGAAAATGAAATATCAGGTGCATTTTCAAAATCTTACTATTTTCCTCCTATGGTTTTCAGTATTTGGTTGGTTATATTGAATGTCCTGTTCATTAATATTATGTTTCTTCTTGCTTATCTTGCTTTGGTAATGGATTCAAGGACATGAAATTTAACAGACATGAGAATGGTCTTTAGTATTTGAAATGCTACTATACTGAAGAGAAAATAGAAGGTAAAATGATGTGGGAATTGGTAAATCACAAGAAGGTAGATATTGAATGAGTAGAAAATAACATTTTCTAAGAATTAAAGCCAGTCAAAATTAGAATTAATGATGGAATGTCTTTATGGATCTATACAATGGGATAGCATGCACCACTGAAAATAAAGAATGAGATAGATCTATAGCACTATTATGGAAAGTATTTAAGGGATAATTTTAAATGAGAAAAGTTACTTGTGAAATGGCATGTACAGCCTAATACCATTTGTGTAAAATTGAAATGATATCAAAATATCCATGATTGCACATAGAAAGCTTTTAGGCAGAAATAAACAATAACAAAAAGAACGCATGAATTATGATTACTTAGACCAGATAATGTACAGAAGGAAAAAACTTTTTCCATTTGAACACTTTGATATAAGTACAAATGGCTCCCACCCCAAGAGCATATTTGTAATTTAAAAAGCCTGGTTGTATTTTTTAAAGTAAACTTCATATATCTTACAAAAAATAGAGGGGATGCTAACTTATATAAAATAATGAATTTCTAATCATCAGAATCACTGAAGCAGAATTTGGGGAACTATATTTGTGGGGAATTCTGTGCTTTTAAAATTACCTTGTAAGTCCAAGGTTTCATGATTCTGTTACATTTAAAAGATTCAAAACTACCAAGAACATGAGTTTTTCCAGCTGTGTCCAATTGGAAAGACTTGAATAATAAAATGAATAAGAGTAACCTCTTGCTCAGAATTGGTTGTCAGTTCTAGGCAGAAAATGATTTCTCTAGGAAGAAATTTGTTGAATATTTTTAGTGGAGGGGAGATATTTTTGGCTAAAGGTCCAGAATCCGCGGGAACAGAAAGCGTTGTAAAACGTTGCTTTTCTCAGTGACAAGGATTCCACAGAAGGAAGCTGACATTTTGTTTCAGCGATCATGATCTTACTATGCTGATGTTGTCACTCACTGGGCTTTGCCATCTTGATGAGTCATCATTCTCCTGAGTGGATGATGAGAAAGGAAATGAAATTGCAGGAGTGCACCAGCTCAATTCAGTTTCTTCCCTTCTATAACCTATTATTTTTCCCCATTCCCTTTAGTGTAGGTAGGATTGGCCTTCCAGTTACATAAACATTTGGGTTTTATCTTGTTCTATAATGCTTCCTGAATCCCAGTTACACAAGAGTAGATGAAGATTAGCCTAATACCACATGTCCAAGCAAATGTAACATATACAAGGATAATTTAAAAAATTGACAGAAAATATAATTAAAAGCTAAGCTTATTTTGGTACAAAAATGTTTTGAAGTCCATGTATAGTTTTTGATAAAATGCATTTTCAAAATATTTTGAAGATCCTTATATTTCAATTTATATTTTCTCAATATTTTGAAACCATGTTATGTTTCTCTGATCTTTCATGTATCTAGTAAGGATATTCCAAAATCTGCTTTCAATTAACTACCTGCATCCCATTGTAGTGATAGCATTGATCCTGTCTTAAGATATTTGGTTTATCAAATGGATGTTTGCATTAATTTTTATTTTAAAAACACTGCATTCAAAACCTATTCGTCTCAGTTACTGATTTTTTTTGATGTTCCTTTACATTTTTACCTGAGATGATTGCCTTATGTGCCATATTATACTTCCAAGACACTTCAGAAACTTTTCTTTTTCCCAACTACCATCTTCAAAACCTGGAGTTAATTTTTTCTGGATCGAGCCCTGAGGGAACAAGGTTCTATGAAATGTCTGTTCAGAGACCATAAGTCAGTCATATTTATAATGTGAACCTTCTCTTTTCCAAGGTAAATTAACCCACTATTCACCTTTTCTCCTCAATCTTCTCTCAATATCATGATATATTTCCTTTTTTGGAGAAGCAGGTAACAATTTTGTTTTTGTGTGTGTTTATAGAAACATAATCAAGTATAAAATCTGAATTATGCACATATGACAGGCATAAATAAAAAGTAATTTTAGATTTTCTAGAAAAAATATTGTTAACATTTTTGTATATTTACTTTTAAAATGCATATGTATCCTTGAACACGTTTCTTTCAATTCTTCATTTCTTCTTTTGCCTCTTTCCATTTAATTTAAAAAAAGGTTATCCATCTATCTACCATATTCTCCTATGTCGGCTCTTTAAAGGTTTGTAATCACTACATAATTATGATGAGATGCATATGGTTAATTTAATTATCTTTTTAGTTTTTTATATTAACTTACATATAAATATTATAAATTTTTATCAAATACATGCATACATGTTGTGTTCCAATACATGTATACATGATATCAAGTCCAGTCAGAGTAGACATATATATCTAATTATTTTCTTAAAATAAATAATTGGAAGTAGAAATTAGCCAAGGAGAATGGCTGTATGTTGTAACTAATTTACTAACACCTCAGTTATTTATCAAGAAGCACCAATCTAAAAATTTTCCAGTTTTTCCATTTTTTCCCAATGTAATTTCATTCACAGAGGAAGAAAATAGATTATACTTTTTCAACAAAAAACAAAAAAGTACCTTTTAACCCATTTTGTAGTCATTATTACTTCTTAGGTAGTTATGATGTAAGACAAACAGAGATGATATTAAAAGATTGAATTAATGTGGGCAAATCATCTAAACTTAGATATCTTAGGTTTGTCACCTGTAGGAAAGAGATAATAATGATCTAATGTAAGAAATTGCTAGAATGTTAAATAACACATTTAAACACACTTTATAAATTAAAGGTTGGCACAAGGAGCTATTATTATTATTATTATTATTACCATTATCATTATTATTATTAAGCTCTTTTGGAAAATGAATTTCCTTATCCACAAAACTCCCCAAATAGGGAATGGAAAAAGTGATGTGTGAATGAGTTCCCTGAAAGTTACTTGCTTTAAAATTTTTGAAAATTTAGAAAAAAACAGTTTAGCCTAGCAGTGAGTCAGAGTACCTGTGAAAATTCACATCTGGGTAGAAACTAGAAAACACATGAAAATGTACGTAATCCTTGAGAACAAACCACTGAGCAACACAGCAACATGATGGAGAACTGAGACTGACAAGTTGTCTTTAGCCCAGAGGAAATTTTCCGAGGAAGAAGCAGCTTGAGTCAAGTATTGAAGAAAGAAGGGAATAGTTCTTGTTTTAAAAAAATTGTAAATATCAGCTTCTGGTGATGAGATGCTTTCTCTCAAGGACTGTTGTACTAGGTTGAAGGAAAATCAGAAATACATCTACTACTACACCACAAGTGAGACTGAAGACCAGCTAGTGAACTCGGCCTTCTTGGAGCACCTTTGGAAGCACAGCATTGAAGTGATCTACATGACTGACTTATGACAAGTACGCATCCAGTAGCTAATGGAATTTGAGGTGAAGAATTTGGTGTCAGTCACCAGGGAGCACTTGGAACTTCCAGAAGATGAAGAAGAGAAAAAGAAACAAGGAGTGCTGTGGCTAGTAGGCTAAGCCTCCGATGCAGCGCTAGCATCCCATATGGGTGCCAGCTGGTTTCCCGGCTGCTCCTCTTCCAATCTAGCTCTCTGCTTATATCCTGGGAAAGTGGTTGAAGACAGCTCAAGTCCTTAGGCCCCTACACTCACGTGGGAGACCTGGAAGAAGCCCCTGGCTCCTGGCTTCAGATGGGCACAGCACCAGTCGTTGCCGCCATTTAGGGAGTGAACCAGAGGATGGAAGATCTCTCTGTCTCTCCCTCTCTCTCTCTCTCTCTCTCTGTAGCTCTGCTTTTCAAATAAATAAATAAACTTAAAAAAAATCTGTATGGCATGACAACTACTTACAGGGAAGATTAAGATTTCTTTCTAATTCTAAGCGATACTGTGAGGTTTGGCACAAGCAGAGCCACTAGCGGTTTTCTAGTTTTGTGTTGGCTTGTAACAGATCACAACATATGTAACCCACTGTTAACTTTGTGGCCTAAAATGTTTAGCTATTAAAATGTTAAACTGCAACTTAAGAAACATTTCTTTCAAATTCAACTGTGCATTTCCTATTTCTTTTGCTTAGATTTGCCCTAACACCTGTGTTCTAACTCACTAGGAAATCTTTTCCAAACTTGCCCCAGCTGTCTTTCCTTCCATCCTATCCCATCCCTATTTATTCTTCCACACCTTTTTACATAAGTTGCCATGCATGAAATTGTCTCCTGATTTTCTTTTCTATCTTTTACCCATAGGTGAACAGTTGTCCCCGTTAACTCAGTGTCCATTCAAGTGTACCTATTCAAAGCATTGGTCACTGATGTATTCTGTTTGATTAGCTTTTCTACATCTTTCAACCTGGAATTTATTCAATGAAGAGTGGAAATCACACAGCGGTGAGTGAGTTTGTTTTCCAGGGCTTTTCCAGCTTTCATGAATATAAGCTTATCCTTTTTGTGGTATTTCTTACATTGTACTTTTTAACCTTGGCTGGCAATGTCATCATTGTGACAATTATCAGCATTGATCGTCACCTTCACACTCCCATGTACTTCTTTCTTAGTGTGCTTTCCACTTCAGAGACTGTGTACACGTTGGTCATTGTACCACGAATGCTCTCCAGCCTCATAGGTCTAAGCCAACCTATCTCCTTGGCTGGCTGTGCCACCCAGATGTTCTTTTTTATCACTTTGGCTATCAACAACTGCTTTCTGCTCACAGCAATGGGATATGACCGCTACGTAGCCATCTGCAACCCCCTGAGGTACATGGTTCTCATGAACAAGAGGGTGTGCGCTCAGCTAGTGTGGGGGGCTTGCAGTATCGGGCTGCTTGTGGCCATGGTACAGATTTCATCTGTATTCAGGTTACCTTTTTGTGAGAGAGAAATAGGGCATTATTTTTGTGACATCCGTCCAGTTATGAAGCTTTCCTGTGCCGATACAACTCTGCATGACATAATTAATTTTATCATCAGTTCACTGGTTATTGTCGTGCCCATGGGCTTGGTGCTCATATCCTACATTCTCATCATCTCCACCATTCTCAAGATTGCTTCTGCTGAGGGCCGGAAAAAGGCTTTTGCCACTTGCGCCTCCCACCTCACTGTTGTCATCATTCACTATGGCTGTGCGTCCATTGCCTACCTTAAACCCAAGTCAGAGAACACCAGGGATCAGGACCAGCTGATTTCAGTAACTTACACTGTGTTTACTCCACTCCTTAATCCTGTTGTGTACACTTTGAGGAATAAGGAGGTCAAGGATGCGTTTCAACGTGTTATTGGCAAGAAACCTCTTGCCTAAGGTCTTTAGCAGTTTACCATATCGTAGTCCTACTTTATCCATGGTTTTAGTTAGTTAGCCAATTGTGGTCTGAAAATACAAAATGCAAGGTTCCAGAAAAAATTTTTAAGTTTTAAATTGCTTGCATAATGAAATCTAGAGCAGTACTACTGCATCCTACCTGGTACAGAAATCATCCTTTTGTCTAACATATTCATGTTGTATATGCTTCTTGGCAATTAGCAGGTACAGTACAGTAATATATTTTGAGTTAAGAAAGCGACCATATATGTTCACATAAATTTGATTATAGTATATAGATACAATTGTTCTATTTTATTATTGTCATTGTTAGCTTCTTATAAATTAAGCTGCATCATAAGTATATGTATATAGGAAATAAGTGTGTATATGTTGTGTATATGAGGTTAGGTACCATTTGCTGTTTCAGGCATCCCCTTGGAGTTTTGGAATTATCCCTCATAGACAAGGGGAGACTACAGTCTTTCATAGTCTAGGTATTTTTGCAAGCTCAAAAACTTGACCCTATCATTCATCTCTTCCCAGAGAGAGTTACAAAATTTGAGGTTAAGGTTGCATTAATGAATCAAGAGTCTCTCTGACTTGCTCTTGTTTTTACCATAATTTTTCTATGCATTCTGCTAATCTCGTGGATTATCATCGGGGTTGCTTACAAGGGAGAATTCTGGTACAGATCATAAGCCAGGGGGAAGTGATTGCTATGTTTGCTTTGGCAGAAAAGTGGGCAGCATAAAGCCTATTGGAAGTGATAGGTTGAAAGATCAACCTAAACACCAAATAGATATTCACTCTAAAACTTCAAAGATGACACAGTTGTTGAACTGGATGTGTCAAAACTACAATTCCCACTTTTTACTTTGGACAGTGACAACAGTAACAGACCCTGACATTCCAGAAGTAATGTTATCAACTTTAAACTCACCTGCCTTGGAGAGCGATGAGTTTCATTTTCATTTTCTAATTTTGTTAAGGTTCACATTAGAACTACTCTCTAGATAAGTCTAGACCAGTATATTCAGTGTTAGTAAAAGTAAACAACTTGGTGATACCTAGCCTCTGAATTTCACAGTACTTATATATATATATATATGTGTGTGTGTGTGTGTGTGTGTGTGTGTGTGTGTTTTCTTTCAGGGAGGAGTAGTTGTTATATACATGCTACTGTGTATCAATGTATTCACAAGTATAGAGATATCTGGAGATCTTTTCTGAAATTAAATGTATTTTTTAAAGCTTTTGCTTATTTTTATTTTAAGAGAGAGAGAGAGAGTCTTCCCTGGCTGTCCAGGCCAAAGCCAGGTGCCCAGAGCTCCATCCAGGTCTCCCATGCGGGTAATAGTGATCCAAGCACATGAGCCATCCCTTCTGCTCCCCTGATGCATTATCAAAAAGCTGCATCAGAAGCAGAGTTGCTGGGACTTGAATCAGGGACTCCAAAATGGGATGCGGGTGTCTGAAGTGTTGACTTAACTGTTGCATTGAATGACTACTCCAGAAATTAAAGGTATTGGTATCAATTTCCAACTAACTCTTGCTATGTCAAATCTGGAAAGTAGCCCATGATTTTCATTATTCTCTGTAGAACACAACCTGCTATGTATGTCTTGCCTTTACCGTCTTCATTGCTACCTTGATTAACTTATTTTCTGTGAGTAGTTGTGTATCCCACTTAAACTTAAGTTTGAAGAGTGTTCTAAGCAAGAGTCTGGGAATTTCTCAATTTGTATTGTTATTGCCTTTTAAAAGGGAAGACAGATTAGATTTGCAGAAAAGATTTAAGATTTTGGAATTACTTATCCTGAGGAAAAAAGAAGCAGGACTCATTAAATGTCTTCCAGTTCATATGGGCTGCTATATAAAAAAGAAAAATCAGTCAGTATCTCCCAACCATCATGACTACTCCATTGTCCCCACTGAAAATGCATTGAAAGTACAAGTCAGAAAGAATACCTGGGACTCCTTAACAGAAGAAGGACCAAGGAGGGACGTTTTCGCGCCTGTGGAGTATTGCTTGAAAGAAAACAAGATACATCCCTTAGTAACATCTACCTCCAAGCGAGCATCCTGAGAGTAGGTGTGCAGAGAGCTCTCCTGACAGCTTAATGTCACCTCTCTCTGGGTGTCCCCGAGGACATCTCTGAGTCCTTTCTGGGCAGATACAAGGGAAACATTCTCACACCCTGCTCCTGAAAAAGCCCCTCTCAAAAGCCTCTCCCAGTAGTCGCATCATCTCTGTGGGGCACTGAATTTTAGTGAACAGAACTCCCAGAAGACTTCCCAGAGCTCTACAACTCTCCATGAAACTGGTGTCCAGTATTGAAAATAGTGTGTGTCCCTAAGTTCCTATAGCTCTACATTACAGAAAACTATGATACAATTCATCCAATTTTTGCAATAATAAATCATGTATATTGAAGAGATATCCACCACTGTCCTTTTTTAAAAATGTCATTTACACAATCTTAACAGAGTGAGAAAAAAATCAGTGCATTTAATTTCAAAGAGTATGTGAATACAAATCATGACTGTAGAGAATGAGGCTTAAGCCCATATCTTGGGCTTAGTCACCACATGGCCATTTTTTACATGTCAGGTCCTGCCAATTTAAGAGGTTGCCACCATAGCATGAGTCACACATCTCCTTTAAGGAGAGCACATGATCCCACAAGGACACATCCCGAATCTCCCCAACAAAGGATTGTTTTGCATCCAAATGTCCCCCAAAGGAATCCTGCTCTTGTCCCAGGATAATCTTTGCCTCTGCCATCACAGAGTACTCTTTCTTCAAACCCTTTCTCCCCACTAGCTTCCCAGAGTTCAGCAATCCCAGAGGCAGACTCCCAGCTTGCACAAATGTGAACTGGGGCATGCAGGGAGTAAGGGACCCTGAAGGTGACCCCAGAATTCCCAACATAGAGCATGTACTCTCCAGGTATGTTAACGACAGGAAGCAGCCCTCTACTGTAAGGGCGGTGAGGTCTGTGAAGGCTCTCAGCCAGAACATGAAGTTCTCTGGGGGCTGCTTCTCTGTGGAGATCGGGGACACACTGGCCATGGCTGATTCTTGAGGGAAAATAAACGGTTTCCCTTTCATGTCTATGGTGAAGAGAGTGTAAGAAGATTTTGCAGTGCTCTCATCGTGGGACTTGGCTGCCTCCTGACAGAACCTATCTCATACCTTAGGCTTTGCAGGGTGGCTGTAGGTGCGTTACATCAGCGACTATGGAAGTAAAATGCTGGTGATAAAGGGAAAGTTTTGCTTCAGCTGTCCTGTTAGGAAGGGAAATTAAAGATGCCCTCTATCAACCCTGCCTCCATCCTTGCGGACGGCACCTGGATAGAATAGCGAGCACCAGTCATAGAAAATGAAATACCCGATTCGCTGGGTGTACTGCCCAGCTATGCTGCCCTCCACTGCTCCACTACTGCTGAGATACTGAGATGGCTCCCGTTTGCCACTGTGATGGGGGTTAGACAGGCTTTTTATGTCTGGCTTGGCTGTGATGGTCCAACACTGGTGGTTAATACCATCTGAGGAATAGAACAGTGTGCAAACCACATGGTCCAGACCTTTATAGTATCACCGCTTTCCTCTCCATTCTCTTTGGCAGCTTTTGTATGCCAGCTCAGGACCTTTTCCACTGTTTGTTTTTCCATGGCTGCAATAGTAGGATCATGGAATTACTTAACATTGGCTTATTTCCTCTTAAGATCCACAAGAAAAGAGGAAAGCTTAATCACTGTAAATTCAAATTTTTTTCATGCTTAGGAAAAACAATTTAACAAATATTATGATCTGGGAAAGAAATTAGAGTAATGACTAACTGAATCAAGGGAGACAGAGCCTGGAAGCAACATGAAGTCTTGAATTGAGTTAGTTTTGCTTCAGAGTGGGAAATGGAAAAACAGCATGAATTCTTATTTTCTTAGTTTCTTAAAAAATGCTCACCCTGAACAAAAACGACAAAAAGAGTGCTTAGAGAGAGGAAGCTAGAAAGAGATTATGGAGGAAGAGGGAGAGGAGAAAGGAGAGAGATGGGGGAGAGAGAGGGAAAGAGGGAGGGGGAGGGGAAGGAGAAGGGGAGAAGGGGGTGAGGAGGGAGAGAGGGAGGGGGAAGGGAAGGGAGAGAGGGAGGGGAAAAGAGAGAGGGAGAGGGAGAGAGTAAGAGAAGGAAAGCAGGAGAGGGAGAGAAAGGGAAAGGGGAGGAGGAGAGGGAGAGGAGAAAGCAGAGGGAGAGGAAGAGAGAGGAGGGAGGGAGAGGGAAAGAAGAAAGCAGAGGGAGAGGGAGGAGAAGGGGAGAGGGGAGGAGGGGAGAGAAGAGGGAGGGGGAGAGGAAGAGAATCTTTAGTCAGTACAACAGACACTAGGAAGACAGGATTTATGCCCTGTGATCTAATTATCTCCCTCCTTGTGATTTGTGACCCTGTCAGTATACAAACCTGGAACAAAATGGCATGGTTAGCAGGGGAGTGAGATTTTGAATAAATTATTACTGATAGTAGTAATACAGTAGAGAAATGAATGTCTCAGATTTGAGATGAGACTCTTTAGTGGCAGTAATAAAAAAAGGTACCCACTTTTAAATATTTTATTACTAATAAAAATTACTCTTTGTAACGTTTACACATCACAAAACACATCCGGTCTTATCTCATCTGATCTTTGGAACAGTTCCTTGCTAGATGGAGGTTATTTTTATTCCCATTGTATAGATGAAGAAAGTGAGACTCAGAGTTCATCAGCTTCACAAAGTTCATCCAGTTAGTTAGGAAAAAATCATTCTCTGATGTGGTCTAAACTTCTAAAAGTCCGTATTTCCTTTCATGATACCAAAAGAACAGAGAGTGAACATCCAACCTCTGTATGCAACTTCCCTTTTTCTAGCAAAAATCACACATGCTTTTCACTCTCCAGAGAGGTACGGTGCTCCCTTGTAATGAGAAAAGCCAGTTCTCCCCCCTCTAGCCCTGGGACTTCCTGGTGTCAGGCATATCCTTATCCATCAGCAGCTGTGGTGGTTTCAGAAATAGGAGGAACTTCAAAATATTCATGGAGAAATGAAATTAAAAGATTATTTTGGGGCCGGTGCCGCGGCTCACTAGGCTAATCCTCCGCCTAGCGGCGCCGGCACACCGGGTTCTAGTCCCGGTCGGGGCGCCGGATTCTGTCCCGGTTGCCTCTCTTCCAGGCCAGCTCTCTGCTGTGGCCAGGGAGTGCAGTGGAGGATGCCCCAGGTGCTTGGGCCCTGCACCCCATGGGAGACCAGGAAAAGCACCTGGCTCCTGGCTCCTGCCATCGGATCAGCGTGGTGCGCCGGCCGCAGCGCGCCGGCCGCGGCGGCCATTGAAGGGTGAACCAACGGCAAAGGAAGACCTTTCTCTCTGTCTCTCTCTCTCACTGTCCACTCTGCCTGTCAAAAAAAAAAAAAAAAGATTATTTTGGCGCAAAATTTTTGAAATTCACAAAGTTAATTCATAATATACATTTTAAACAGACTTTCCAAAGACTCCTCATATGGACATATTTCAAAATATTTTTGGTACCAAAGTAAAAGTATCTTTTAATTCTATTTTTGTAAACTTCTTCAAGAGTCTTTTTATGTCCCCAAATAGCTCTCTTCCTGAGTATAGGCTAGTTTACTTCTAAGCAAATTTATTTCTAAGATGAAATTATGAGAAGGCTGTGGTTCTTGCACTAGATATTTTCTATCCTGATGTTGGATCACCCACTACTACAGAAACCGGCCTCCAGGCTCCGGGCTGCTCTATAAAAAAGACCCATATGACAAAGAACTAAATGAGGCCTGTGACCAACAGCCAGTGGGGAATCTGGGCCCTCAAGGACATCTTGTGGAGAGCTGGATCCTGACAGTAACCATGTAGGCACTTGAAAGTGGGTCCTCCACTAGAGCAGCTTTCAGATAAAACAACAGCCCTGGCCGACTGATGGCAGCTTCATAAGGGACCTTCACTCAGAATGCCCAGCTCAGTCACACCCTATATCCTGTCTCTCAGAAAGTATAAGAAAATCAATGTTTGCTGTTTCAAGCTGCTAAATGTATCCAAAAATTATTATGCAGCAACAGATAACTTATACACCATCCTTTCCCACATCTTCCTGAAAACAGCAACAATAAACAAAGGTGCTGTGCTCCAGTAGCTACTGACTGCACTGCACCTCCCAAGAGAGCAGTGAGGGGAAGCACACCCAGAGGAGCTTCTCCGTCGTGCTCTCTTTGGGTCCTCGATGGAGAGAGGCTCACTGTTTGACTTCTCATATTGTACTGTGAGAGTCAAGGCCTCTGTTCCAGCTATAGAAGCAAAGGTTATAGATGGTAAATATTAACCAAACCAGGATGCTATTTAAAAATTTATTTGTTTACTTTTTATGTATTATTTTCATTATTGAGTCTTTCATTTCTCTTTCAGTTATTTTATTTCCATTTGCCTTACTATGCTCATGCCCTCTCCCTTTATTAAAAGCATCTCTATGTCCTACTGAAGGGAGATTTTTACCATATATGTATAAGAAAATCATGTCAGTCTATTGTCAGGACTCTGGAATCTGCTGGAGAATCACTCCCTACCCTTTGTCTGGGGAACAGGGCATCACCAGTAGAATATGGACACTCAGTCATCTAGTGGCTGAAGGGTTCAACATAGCTGGGAGATGGAAAGCCTTTGGCTTTGATGGAGTTGACATCTAGGGTGGGCTTGGTGGCAAAGTTCCCTAGTTCTGAATTTAAAAACTCTTGGGTATTGGCTGTTAAGATGGCATCCTTCCCTTGGAATCAGGCCATCATAGGAAAACCAGGGGCAAATAAGGGGTCCGTGAGGTTAGATAGATGGGGCCTACCTACATAGAGAAGGGACAGTGCTTAGATACTGGGAGTAATCCGGCTGTGTTATGTCCTAAATCTATGATACATAAATAGAACTATTCACAAACATTTTTATCCTAGTATTTGTTTCGTTGCCTGTAATAAAACTTTTTTTAAGTTTTGTTGGTTTCCTCTTTTTTATTCATTTTTATTCATCATACATTATAAGACTTTAAATCTAAGAACATATGGTTTATGAATGAGGATATTTCAAAATGTTTGTGCAAAAATGGAATTGACAGATAGTTATTTTAGTGCAAAACATTTTACAATACATGCATAGCTTTTTCATTATATGAATTTTACATGAACTTTTTGAAATACTCTCATATATTTTTTCCCATAGCACAATCTCCTCCTTCCACCACTGTGATTAAACTAATAGTAAGCCCTAAAACTACTTATGAAATTAACTACTCTAGTGCTTTCAGGCTGATGACAAGAACTGAGGGAATTTGTATGAGTTAAGATTCTCAGTTGCAAACAACCACAACACTGTAGCTAGTTGTGGCAGTCCATTTTTGCTTAATTATGCTGTGTAACAAACCACATCAAAATGCAGTTTTTAAGAACAATAAACATTTATTTAGTACATGAGTCTGTGGGTTGGTGATCTGTGCTTAATGATTCTCTTGGTTTTAACTGGGTGATTAGCAGCAAGGGAGATGGATACTGTACAATAATAGCACATAAGTCAGAAAGGAGGGGATTGGATTAAAGCATGTTGAGGTCTTTTTCTTGTAATAATTTTAAATTGACCTAAATGAATCTTGTCTTTCTTTTCATTCTAAACTTACATTTATAGTACTGTATAACACCAAGAATTCCCTCAGGAATTTTGAAAATATCTTTTCACAGTACTTTTTAGTGTAATCTAAAATAAATATTATCTTCCATAAAATTTTACTTTAAATCATATTACAGCAAAAGTTTACAATGCAGGTTACTTTTGTTACTCTTTAATCTTTTAAAAAGATTGATTTGTGGGCCAGCACCGTGGCTCAATAGGCTAATACTCTGCTTGCGGCACCGGCACACCAGGTTCTAGTCCCAGTC